CCCGGAGTATGTCTCCTGTGGAGGAGGCTTTGGACCGGTCAGTACCACCTCCGGTGTTTCACAGACTTTAAATAATTGTTCTACAATTATTTATTTTATTCTATATAGTTCCTGCTGGATTAGTGGACAGATTACATGAATACAGATTCAAGGGACTGGTGATGATTCAAGTATTTTTGTGCCTTTCAGGTGGCCGATGATGGATATGGGGTGTCCTACTGCATTTTGGGAGAGAACATGATTAACTTCCACATCTCGTGCAAACACTCATGTCCAGACACTGTGAGTTTAATGCTTTTGGTCAATTTGTAGTCAAATGTCTGTGTATTTTAGTACTTCATATGTAAATCTAGAATTGTGTTATGCTCCCTTATGCCTGTAGTTATTTACAGAAAGACATGGTTGTTCACTGCACAAGTAAACCTTTAAAATTGTTATATTTTGTCATGCAATGACCATTCTTACTATTATTTAGATTTTTTAAAAAGGCATAATATGACATTAATCTTTTATTGGCTCAATTTTGTTTCATTTGCTTGATTGTTTTTTAACGCTATGCTAATGCTTTTTCTCCTTATTCTGTGCTCTTCTTCTCTCCTTGAAGGACGCTCATAAGTTTGGTGATCAGATCAGACAAGCCCTCCGTGATCTGCTAAAGCTGCTGAGCCCAAGCCAAACAGAGGCCAGCAAAACGGAAGAGAGCCAACCTAAGGTCAAGAAAGAGCAGTAGATATTCAAATCAGAAGACGTGATGCTGAAGGGAACATGTGCAGGCATTACAATATGAAGTGAAGAAAGGCGGGTTTTTATTCTTAATTTAGTCTGAGGCATTTATAGCCAGGTAGATGATATTCGTGAGACAGCTCCACTGGAAAATGATAACAACGGAGGTGATGTTTTTACTGATATGCATATGTTTGTGCGTTTATATTAGCTGTGCGATGGGTGCATGGAGCGAGAAAGGGTCCGCAGAGTTTGGTTTTAACAGTGAAACAACTTGAAATGTGCACGTCTAAATGAAAAGTACAGTGGGGCCAGTACACATCTCAGCGTTAGGATGGAAGATCCTAACTTCACCTTATTGCAGGGAGTAAATGAATGCAAATTTCTGCAGTGTGTTTTCGACACAAGTAAAGATAAAACTCCTCTGTTGTTGGATCTGTTTGGGGAAACGCTGTGGGATGTTAGTGTGAATTTTGGAGTATTGCCATGGGGAGAAAACATGATGGACTGTTGAGGTGACTTCATTTTCTACCATCTGAATGCAAAACTGCTGTAACGATGACACCAGGTATTTTAGAATCATGGAAGTCTGTGACTTCTCAGTGTTTACTCGATGTGTATAAATTGCTTTTTACATACACAACTGTAATGCTGTACTTAAAGCACCAGGCTGGTTATACATGTAGTGAAGATACATGGCTATTTTAAATTAATTAAATATATCCAGTGCCATATTTTTTATTTTTATTTTTTTCTTGGAGGCTTAGTTTGTATTCACTAAGTTTAACTTACAAAGTTAGCAGACATACAATCTAGTTATTCAACTGCTATAAATGTATTTTATATTTTTACTTTATTGTTACCACTGTTTAAAAGCACCATAACAATGCAAGTTGTATTTATGAACATGATGTGCAATTATTCAGTCCCACGCAGCGCTGCAGGTCAGACCTGGATTAGATGTAAAGTGTACCTGTGACACAGATTGATGTTTTTCTCCACTTACTGCTGCCTTCTTTGGTTTTTACTCCAGATCAGCTTCTCTTATTATGTTGTTCTCATGAGCCTTTTTAATGCAATATTACGAGGGGAAATAAAGATATTCTTAAAGAAAAAAACTAGTGTTTTTTTTTTTTTGTTTGGTGTTTGTTTTTGTTGCTTTGAAACATCTCTCCTCCAGTTTAGCAGATTGCTCATGAAGAAACCTTTTGGGTGTCTGTATATTTATGTGCAACGCTCAACACCAGCGCTGACTTACTTGCCTCAACTGATATCACCAAGAAAATTTATGTTCAGGCTATTTTTCTCACAGACAGTGCTGTGAAAAAGTATCTGCCCTTTTCCTTATCTTGCATGCTTCAGATCCTCAAACAAATTTTAATAGGCAAAGATAACCTGAGTAAATACAAAATGTAGTTTTTAAATGACGATTTGATTTATGGTGGGGAAAAAAGTTATTCAAACCCACCTGGCCTTATGTGAAAAGTAATCGCCGTATTTGTTTAATCATGAATTAACTTTGACCACATTTTATTTAGAAAACTGAGTTTAATTTCATTTACCACAAACAGATTTGAGTAGTGCCAGACCTGCTGAATCAAGAAATCACTGACAAAGTGAAGCAGGCTAAATGATCTCAGTAAGCAAACATTGACATAGAGAACCACTCACAAACATTTTGCAGCAGGATAACATCCGAAACACACCAGCATGTCCATTTTTTCATGGTCTAGTCAAAGTCCAGACTTAAATCCGATTGAGATGCTTTGGCATGACCCTAAATGGGCCGTTCATACTTGAGAACCCTCCACTATGACTCCTTGACTTTTAGGAGAGCTTTAAAAAAGTAGAGTAAAGAACTGACCTCCTATAAAATAGCCTCACTCACAGCCAAGTCACTCAAGTCCAAGGATGACATTTTTTATGTTTATCATTGGCTTCACATTTCTGTTCGCAGTTGCTGATGCTTTTCTGCTTGATGTTGTGCTGCTTCTTTTTTTGTTGTTGCAGAAGCTACACATAGAATCAAGTAAGCATGTGGTTTTTCTTATAAGTCTTCAAGTCATCTTTAGGACATCATTTTAAAATAACGAACACGCAGAAACTAACAAAGAAATGATGTATTTATCAATAGCTCTTTGCAAAGAATAGAAATGTACCCTCTATATGCTTACCATTGTAACAGATAAATGGTTTAAGGTAAGTACAACCTCTGTCCCAAAGTGCTTTGAGGGGAAGACTGCACAATGAACAGACTCCATCATTATTTGGTTGATCAGTGGCCCAGTATCTGAAGGAGCTGTTGCTCTGGTCTGACCATTTCCACTCATCTCAGAACAAACCGATCCAGACTGAGGACAGCGAGCCATTGTTATTGTCACTGATTATTTGCTGCAATGCCAGAGTTTCAGTGTCTCCCCTTGCACTGGCCAAGTCTTTATTCATCACTCGACAATCTTGTTGGGCGTCAGTCCAGCTTTTCTCTTGAAAAACAACATACAACCCAACGGAGCCAACGTCTGTGAATAATTTTTACACAGAAAAATCCGATTACATGTAGAAAACAACATATCACTGCTGGCTTTCATGCTGTTGGGTAACAATAAAGATGAATTTGAAAATATTTGCTGAACTTGAACTTGAGTGACACAACTTTTTGAAACTACGACAATGAAATAATGTTTGAGATCAACGTTGCTTTTTAAAATTTTGTGCTGTCTACTTAAACACTGACACTGATTATTCGAAGCACTATCTGAAGAGGTCAGAGGTCCAAAAAAGTGATATTTAGAATGTTGTCAATCCAATAATAACTGCAAGAAACACAGTCTTAAATACCTCTATGTAGCATTATTATTACTGTGATCTTCAGAATCTATTGACTTTAAATGAGAGGTCAGAGGTCAAATGGGAAATAATATTTTTAATCTTTTCATGTGTTAAGAACACACACCACACTTGTAAGAATTATTGTTTGTAAATTATAAGGCTTTTTGTTCATTTCCAACCAATAAATCATTATATTGACCATGAAGGCCTTGGCAGATTTAATTCTGAAGTCTAAATTTACACATTCTGAATGTCTTTTGACAATTTATTAGTGTGAGCTAACACCAAGCTGCACCCAGATCACTCATTTCAATTGTTTTTTCTTACCTGATGGCCAGATCTTTCATAGCAAAAGATACAGTGCGCTTCTGCAGGTCGCTGCTTTTTGTCCTTCTGCCTTTCTGAAAGTCTATTTTTTTTTGTCCATTTCATAGTGTGTTGGTGTTTTTACTGATGGCCTATGGAATACATATTTGCATTTTTATAAACAAATTTAGCTGTGAGGAGCTAAGCAGGATGTTGTAAAGATCTAAATTGATAGATGCTATCACAGGTGCCAAAAACTAGATGTAACCAACACACTGTATTTCCATTGGGGGTTGAAATGATCTTGTTTTATTACCTCTCCTCTATCTGTCTGTGTTCCTGCCATTTGTCTTTCTGTCTCTTATTTCAGCAGTGAGGTCACTCACTGTCATCATAAACCTTAAAATGGGACTGACTGTAATGAGAGTATTCTTGATTGTTATTGCTTTTTTTTTTTTTTTTTTAATTGTTATTTTATTTACTTATTTAATTTTTAACAGCGTGACAGTTTTCTTTTATTCTATGTGGGAGCAGCTGATGACCATGAAAACGCATTTCTTTGGGATTAAAAAAGTTTCATGATATGAAATGAGAGGTGTTTCTTTCTGGCTTCCTCCAGAGACGCTGATGTTTTAGTTTCTTCAGTCAGACTCCCTCAAATATTTCTTATAGATCCTCTCTTATAACACTGTCGCCATTTTCACTATTTTATCTTGAGTTACACATATTTTCTTATATAAAGAAAAGTGGCCAAAGCAGTATTCAGATTGCTGTATTTATGAAAATTATGTGAAATGATCCAGTGCTAGGCAGTGCTGGGATATGGATTAGATATTAATGTGTGATAATAGTAACACTTTTTTTCTCCACGTCTTACTGCTTTCTTTTGTTTTTACTCCAGAGCAGCTTCTCTTATTATTTTGTTATAGCTGATGCAATATTATGAGGGGAAAAAAAATATTTTTAATCATCATAGTATAATGATCGTAGCCTATGTATTTATGTTCCCTATTTGATCCCGGACCAATCTTGATGAAATTTTGAATAAACATTGTCTAGCGTGCTGTCAGTGCCGACATCTATATGGCATATGCAAATGTTTTATACAAATCCCAAAGACAAACAAAGTGATTCACTATGTTTCTTTATTATAATGTTTTCAGACAAAAGACAGCATGTGAAAAAAATAGTGAAAGTTCATGTCTACCCTTACAGGTTACAGAGTAATAAATCAACAGACTTTTAACTGACTTTTAATGAGTATTTAATATATCACATATGCATATTATATTTGCCACATGCTTAAAAAAACCCTCCAAATGAAAGCATTCCAAATATGATGTGAGCAGACTTTAAAAACAAACAGTAAAGCAAAGTCTCCCTTTATCTCTATTCATTTAACGCTAGGCTAGTTTTGTTTATTCTCTACATGCAAAATCGTGAGTAATTTTTCACTGCAGGAAAACTTCATGTCGTATTCTAACAGGCATCCTTGATTTCCTTCTCCTCTTCCTTATGGAAAATTTTCCCATCAGGCTGGACTCTCCACCAAACCTTGGCATTCTGGTACTTTGATTGGATCTACGGAGGCATTCACATGAGCTAGTTACAGTATGTTACGATTATAAGTGCCTGAATCCAGTAAAAGTGGCTTCTTGACTTATATCAGAGCTTTTAAAAAGACACATTAATGGAACATTTTAGAGTAGAGAACTGACCTGCTGCAGAATGGCATCACTCACACTGAAGTCATTTAAGTTCAAAGATGACTTAAATTCCACCTTAACAGTTCTGGTGTGTTTTGTTTCTTGATTGGCAGAACATCGACATAAAATTCACATGCATTTAATTTGTTAAATAAGCTGCCATGTTAAGAATGGCAGTAACTAAAAAGAACAGATACATTTGTTCTGTATAAAAATAAACAATGAAAATTTAAAAAGTTACATGATAAACTGTGGAATTATATTCTTACCCTCATAGCAGATGAAGGGTAGAGAGTAAGTACAGTCTCTGTCCATGAATCCTTTGAGAGATGGATTGTACAATGTACAGAGTCCATCATAATTTGGTTGACCACTGGCCCAGTATCTGAAGGAGCTGTCGCTCTGGTCGGACCATTTCCAATCATCTCTGAACAAACCGATCCAGACTGAGGACAACGCAGCGCTATTGATTATTTGCTGCAATGCCAGATTTTCCACCTGGCTCCTCGCACTGGCCAAGTCTTTGTTGTTCATGCGACAGTTCTGCTGGGCATATAGCCAGCTCGTCCCTTGAAAAACAACATACAACCCACTGGAACCAATATCTGTGAACATTTACAACAAGAAAGATTAAAATCTAAACAAAATCACTCAGAGAGCACAACTCTCCTCGAAGGGCAAGGGCTAAAACTTTGAAATTTTATGATGATTTTATGACAACATGCTGACTTCTGACCTTTGATCTATGAACATGAATAATTACATAGTAACATAGTTTATTTTATTTGCATTCACATTTATGTGAAAGAGGAGCTGTGTGTATTTTGAATGATCTTTCCCATGAATGCACTGACCTTGGCATACATAAGGAAGCGTTGTTGTACAGGGTGCGCTGAACCATTTCCCATCATCCCTCATCCCTCCACAGTTGTCAGTGGAACTTGGTAAACTGCCCCAGTTAGTGTATTCAACTACTCCATCATTGATCTGAGTTTCTCCCACAGACCACAGCCAGGCTGGTGGGCCTGTTCGTGTTAGACCGATCCACATCTCTGCTGTCACACCACTGGCTGATACCATGTTCACCAGCCTCTGCATGTCATCCTGGCTGCCAATCGTGGCAAGGTCGGCATAATTGCTCCTGCAGTAACTCTGGGCATCAGCCCAGATTTTAGCCCCGTTTATCAGGTAGAACTCCCGATGAGTGGGAGAACACAGAGTAACATAGCCTGTACAGGTGCACCAACCAAACATCAAACAAAGGAGGACTGCATCATCATCATAACACTGTTTAACTTCAGCATGAACGTTTCATCATAAGCAGTTAAGAAAATGGATTCATGAATGGATTTCATCACTTGTGACACTTACCTGAAACTAGCAATAAAATCACTGTAAGGACCATATTTTCTCTAGGATGTAAATTAGAAAAAATCAGTTTGCATTTGTTAGCCTACTGAAGTGGATAAAGAATTTTTAATTCAGTGGGAGTCCACTCAGTCTCAAACTTTTTAAAACCCATGAAACTGAAGCATTTCCTGCCTTACTTACTTTAATGTTACAATCACAAGTCTTTGAATGCACAGCCAGAGGATTTAACAAATGTGCCAAAACAAATGTATGCGACAACAAAATGAAATAAATCAACCAGTCATCAAAGAAGGTGAAAATACTGCGTTCTAACATTTTGAGGGACTTTTTTCCCCTTTCAAAGCATAACTGGCGTCTTGTGCTTAATCAAAACAATATGGAAGTAATACAGATTTTTTTGTTTTTAAGTTGTTTTTGTGGTTAGGTTTTTTGGATAGATTTACAGGCAGAAGTTTTAAGGACAGTGCTTAAAGCAAATAAAAACGAGGACAGATGAGTCACTTTGATAGCATCCACTTATTTTTTTTAAATGTATTTCAAAGACACTTATTTTTCAGTTTTAAATGAATTGAAGCTATTTTATTGAATAAGTCAAAAATGTTTAAATGACAAATACTAAACTTTAAGAACAGAATTGTTTGTTGTTCTGGCAGACAACAAATTTGAAACTATTTTGGGAATCGTTTCATTACTTACATAATTACTCTAATGTCCTAACTATAGAACCATAGCCATAGCAAGAATTGACAGTAACATGTTTAAGCTAGTGGCATGGACACATGCCTGTCTATAACTGCCCACGTCTGCATATCTACCCTGCTCCCTCTGATAAATCACCTAACTGAGCAGCCCCATTACATGGATACAATTACCAGCCACACTTAGTAATGATGAAAAAGAGGTTTTAAACTTTGACAGTTAAAGATTTCTTTCTTTTGTATAAAAATCTTTGGCTTTTTCACTCTTGAAATCTTCAAATAGGATTAATATTACGGACAACCTGATACAGAAGAACACATAGACTGATTAGAGAATTACAACGAGACACAGATGAGAGCAATCAAAGAATAAGCAGGAGGACAGAGACAGTAAGTAGAACTAACAACAACAACAACAACAACAACAACAAAAATACACTACCTTAGAAAGTAGAACAGGCACCAACACAAAGACTCAAATGTAATAACTAAGAATCCAAAACTGAGTCCAGCAGAAAATCCAGCAATCCTGAGACGATTCATATACAGATTTTTTCCAGGTCAAGTGACACTTTACTCTCTTCTTACCTGATGGGAAGCTATTTTATTACAAAGGATTAAATGAACAAATAGGCAGTTGTTAATCCTACTTCATACTTTCACGTATTAGTGTTTTGTTTGTTAGCAAGTAGCCTTTGTATTTGTCTTTATGAAAATGAAGCACTGAAGCTTAGCAAAGATGCAAAAGAATATGTGCCTTCCTTAGGACAGGATGCGTGGTGTTTGATCTATTATGTCTTTGTTGTAACAATGCATTTGGAAATAAATCTTGTACAGTTGGAAAGCCATGCATTTGTGAGTTGAGCAGAAGAGTTGAGTATGTGCCTCACGCCCTGGAGGACAGGGCTGTGGCCCCCCCACACCCTCTAGCAGATTATTACATGAAGGAACCTTTT